GGGGCTTTTGTTTTCCGGGGGGCCCTTTTTTTTTTTTTTTTGCCCGCAGGCAAAACAGGCTGGACTCGGGGAATTCAAATTAATTGTGTATCTTGCCAGCTAACGAACTTTTAATTACTGGCACCCCGGTGTTAAGAAAGGAAGGAGACACCAACAATTAAACACTTAGGGAAACGCCTCTTCTTCCTCCTTCCCCCGGGGCTCAGCAGCGTCTGTCCGGTACCTCCCCTCTACCCTCCCTCGTCTGCACTGCCCCCTCGACTTGCCCCGCGCCGCATGGCCGCCCCTGCGCAGCCGCTTGGGGTCCCCCTCCACGGCCTCCTCTCTCGGCCGCTCCCCACCTCACACGCTTTCCTCCTGCTGCCCCGCCATGGGTTGCCCACGTCCCCTCGGGGGGTGACCCTGCCCCTGCGTGGGTCCCCCATGGATGCAGTCCCTTGGGGTGTCCCTGCCCCGGCGTGGGTTTTGGCACACGGGGCCATCTCTACCTGTTGCAGAGCCAACTGGGCCCGGCTGTGGCCAGCACGAGGTGGGGTCCATGGCCTCCTCCTGCATGGGGCACCCCTGCAACCCAAGCCTACCGTTTGTGCCCAGGGTAATTTCATAACAGGGGGGAGCAAGAGTGCCACTGCAGCAGCCCCGCGTGTATCAGTGGGGCACATTGCTTTCAGTGATCAGGAAAAGACCAGAGGGGAAAACCCATCTGCATATTTGCCGAGAAAGGATTGCTCAAACCTTACAGCAGCAGCGTGCTGGTGCTAAACTTTCCTTAGTTGTTTGCTGCTTCCAGCCACCTTACCAAGCAATCAATTTTCACTTCTTTTTTCCACTCACATTTTGGGTACTCAGTACAAGGTTCTAACGCATGATAAGCAATGCCATAAAATAATATTTGCACTGAAATGCAGAATTGCGGTATTCAGGACTTTTAAATGGACTAAACAAAATTTCCTGCATGGCAATGCTGCCCTAACCAGCAGGCATCTCTACAAGCGCTCGGTTGTTGCCATGATGAGAAGCTGCAGCTTCACAGGTAACACACTGTGACACTACGGCGAAATTGGGCTCCCGAGGAATTCGCAGATCCTCAAGGATGGCAACACGCACAAGTGACAGGGTGCTTGCTGGCAGCAAATAGGGGAAACATGAATGAAACCAAAGCAAGCTCCACTTTTGTTCAGCCTCCAAACTCAAAAAGATCACTTTGTGCAAGCAGGCAGCAATGAGATCCCCCCCCCCACCTTTCATTTGAAGTTCATATTGATCTACCAAAAATGTGCATAGTGTCCAAAAAAACAAGCAAAAAATGAAACCTAAGTCATTAGAGGGCAGTTAGGTCAAAGGTCATAAAGTATCGTATAACCACAGTGAAATCAAAATTAGTTACATCAAATCTCTTTCCATTTCATTCAGCTCCTTTAGTCTAACGACTATGGCTGAACTGATCTGGATTTATTCAGTATATTAATGGTTAAGGAGTTATAGGAAGTAAAATAAAGTGAGAGGTTTACATAACATAGTGAAGTAAAGACTTCAACCTGTGAATTTCAAGTAGGGATAATCAAACCATGTGATATATTTCAAAGTTCTTATTACAAAGTGGTGTTTTTACTAAAATTATCTTCTCAGTATGGTGCGGAATTCACTAAAGACTAAATGATGGATACTTTAATACCTCTAGTTGATCAACACTGAATTGTTTTCTGTAGTCTTAAAAAAAATCAGCAACATTAGAGAGGTCTTACAGCTCCATCTGGTCTCCAGAGATGGTAAACTCTGAATTTGCCTGCAAATGCTTTAACTGTGCACAATCCTTGCCATGAAGGGAAAGCAGAAGAGTGACTGGAGAGACCATAGGAAACCAAGGAGCATAGAGTTAAAATTGTTTCACTTGCAACAGCTGACTTCAAGTCAGCTTTCACGCTACCTATGTTGACCCTTGCGGACAGCCTGCACGCACGTGCCATGGGTCACACAAACTCCATGCTGCTGGGCTTTAGCATCAGTCACAGCCAGCAGAAGAACACCCTTGTGCCTGTGAACTGGTGGCTGAAAGGCTAAAGAAGAACTTCCTTCTCCATATCCTGGGCACTGCTTTGAGGCCAGAGCCTGAGCACCCGCCCCATCACACTCTGCTCCTCTTTTTATTTTCAGGTTGAGTTCTAGACCCCTTTCAGGAGTATTGAATTAGCTTATTTACTGAAGTTGCATGTTGCTGCCCACTGGCTCTGACAAAACTGCAAAGATGAGTCATTTTCAACATTGGACTACAACATTTCTCTTTATTTGGATTCTCAGTAAACCTAAATTTGCACCCAGCTCCATCCACATTGAAAAACACTTTCCCAAATGAAATTTATAAACCCAAATCCAATTCACTCCCTAATTAAAAGTTGAGATTCCTGACAGAGGGACAGATGCTGAAATACGTGCACATTTTAAAGTTGGTGGGCCGCAGTGTACATGTGTCAAAGCTAGAGCAGGTTGTGGAAGTTTACACCAACGCTATCACTGTGATACAGCTCCTGTGGTGGGCACGTGTGCAGCCGGCTCCTGCTTGCAGGATTGGTCTCTAACAGAAAGGTGTGCTGCATGCCTCCTGCGGCACTTGCAGTGTTTGCAATATAGAGGATTTCCCCTGTGTAAGGCTGTTTTTTACACAGTAGAGTTTACTAACCGTGCCACTGCTGTGGGCTCCAGGACTAAGGAGACTAAAACAAGTGTTTTGCCTTTTCCTTGTGAGGCTGGCCAAAGGAGTAATCAACTCATGCAGAAAAGCCCAAAGATCAAAGACTCACAGAGAAGACTCTTCATTGCCAAGTAGCCAGCATAATCAAGAGGAAAGAAGGCTTTAACTCCAGGGGCTTTTTCCTCCGTTTTGGCTGGGTAGAGGCAAGGATAGGGATGGAGACAGGAACAGTATGGCTCATGCAAAGGCAGAACTGCTTGTACATCTGCGTCTGCAGGAGGCAAGAATGGCTCCAAATTCAGCTCTGAATGGGAGAAGGTGATTGATGACTTCCTGATCCAACATTTAAACATGACCAGCCTGTTCCCATCTTCCTCCTAAAGGCCCTGAACTCATGGCTTTTGCTCCCTGGCCATCCTTGATACCCTCTGGCAGGCACTGCTAAGCTCGCCCCTTGGCAATGGCCTGCTCCCTCTGCCAGGTAAATGGGAGCAGCTGAGGACATGGGGGTCACTGGGCAACTGCAGCTAATCCTTTACTGGTGCCATCAGCACATGCCTGCTAGGAACCCCTGGAGGAACTGGTTTTGATGCTACAATCACTATTTGGTTAGTCTATGAAGTAATAATTTCCCTCAGATGTTTCCCTGTCTTTCTCAAAGTTGTGAGAAGACTAGTCCATCTGTAAAGAAAAAGCTCTGTGAGAGGGTTAATTTATGAGCTAGAACCCATGCCTCTTAAAGTACTGGGCTCGCCTAATAATGTTATTGACATAGTAGTTGTCTCTACTGCATGGGTCTTCATCATACACCTGGAAATTGCCAATCCTTGAGCGATAGGCACAGATTCCCCCTGGAAGAAATGAAAAGGAGTTGTTAGTATTTTTGGCTTATAAATAAATAATATAGATTTAAACATAGACATTCCTAGCTAAAAGAGCAGTGCATCTCATTGAACCTATACAACTGCTTGGTAAATTGCTAATTTTGTCTTTATTGTGGAAAAGTGTCTTCATTTGCAAAATCCTTATTTCTGTTGTGAAAGAACCCATGATTTCTCCGAATGTAGATGGGAATGGCTTGCTGGGCCCAGAAAATGCAGCGGCAAAGCAAGGATGGGACAGCAAAAAATAACATTGTATGAACCAATAACATGCACATAATATGAATTGCAAGCAAATGTGGATCCTAAGCCTTCTCGACACAATTTAGTAGCCTGCCACGACAATCCTGTGTTGTTGCAGTGCCTTAATTCCTACTTTTCATGGTGGTTTGGGTGTTTGTTTTTACCTCATTTATGCATTTAATAACCCTTTCCCTTGTGGGACAAAGAGACAAGTGGATAACTTGAGACTTGTCCTTGTCCATTGAGCAAAATGGCATGCCTTTCCTTTAAAGAGGCCCTGGCTCAGGCCATTCATCAGCTGTGGTCTAGGCACTCCATATTAGTGGCACTCCGTGGACTTTTGTTGCTGAATTCAAGTGGACACCTGCTGAGGCTCTATCTGACCTTCCTCCCAGGCCGGAAGTGGGTGGAGATGTGCCAGGCTATAAGGCACAGAGCTCTGCCCTTCCCTTCAGGCCAGGTCTCTGTGTCATGGCAGTGTATTCAGCTCCCAGGCTGGGCTCATTTCCCGCTGGTTGCTTTTGCAGAAAAGCTGTCGTGTAGCTTATGTCCCCATAAAGTTTCTGAATGCGGGTAGAAACAAGAGAACCCTGTGGACAGCGCTTTTAGCTGGGAGGCTGCATCCAGTTGCTGAATCCGGTTGTTTCTTTTAAGCTAGAAAAATCTGGATTTTTTTTTGTAAAAAATGCTGTAAAATCTGCCAGGCTGATGCTGTTTTCCTTTAAAAATGACACCAACAAATGCAGAGGGCTCCCATCACTTAGCAGTCTCTACCATATTATAATATAAACAACAAATCATCCCCTTACGTTAATTAAATGTTTTTAGAAACCTTCTCATGATATTTAGAAAGGATACACAGTTTAGGAAAAAAGAAAAATACTAACTAATGTGCAGGAAATAAAACTGAACCTATATTGGTATGAAAATGCCTCAGTGTGCAAATGTGAATCACAAACCAAAGTACTGACAGGGGAAAATAAGAGAGGGCTGTTCAATTTTTCCGATTTAAGAATCCCAGCTATTAACATCTTGACGGTGCAGCTAATGCGACTTTCCTTTCTGTTTCTGCATCTAATCTTGAGAGTGTCCCTTTCTAATATATAGCAGATATTGTACCTCTCAGCTGCTGTTCCCAGGTCCAGCTAGGATGTCTTGCCCGAACTTCATTAATTGCAGCAACGAGGATGGCTGAACACTGATTTATGTGTTCTTCACTATCCCAGGTTCCAAAGAGGCTATCATGCTGTCCATCAATCTAGGAAAGTCAAATAAGAACATCAGTTTCCATCCAAACACAAACACCACTACAGCTTCCCCCAGTTTTTCATATTCCTAGGCCATGATTCAAGTAGGTGACCTTATTCAGGATAACGTTTAAGCCAAAACTTTGATGTAGTCTTGCAAGGGAATGCATTTAAGTGGCATCTTGAGTATCAGACAGTCATTTGCTAAGCTAAAGCCCAAAAATATATAGTACATATACTGCTTTGGTAGCCATGATTTTTAATTTTCCTAATCTTTCTGCTGTACCTGCATCAAGCCAAACTTGCGTCTTCCCTGGTCCCAGCCATTGTTTAAGAGAAGGCCAACACGGCTCTCCTGTGAGATGATAGCAGCGATGAGCGCCGGGTCTAAGCACAGCTTTCTGGCTACTCTCTTAATAGGAATCTCATATTTCCTCAGACGTACGATGTCCGTCTCAACAGTCTTCCTTGCTGCATCCATTCCTGTAGCATAAGAAAAAGCAAACTTACACACCCGCACTTTTGAAACCTTCACTTTCCGGTTGAAAGGGTATATCAAAGGTGTAATGCTAGTTCTGAAAAAAATGCAGCTGCACAGTGTCAGGCATAGCCTGATGTTTGAGGAGCAGACACAGCCCTATTGACTTCAGAACAAAATTGTTGAGCTGCAGCACCAGCACCCTGCGTTTATCTCTGAACTGGTGACAAGGTGAAGAAGGCAGCTTTGGTCACCCACCAGCTGCCGCTGTCTGAGGAGGTTGGGCTGTGCAGTCATCGTCCAGTTTTGCTGCTGCACTGCTGGAAACATTGTTCTGGATTTGGAAAAGTAAAATTTTGAATTGTATTTGAAAAATGAGAGGCATCACTAATAACCAGTAAACTGTAAACAAACGAGTAGATTCAGATTCATTGCTGGACACCACTCTCAGGTGTCTGCCATGGAGGTGCCTACATATAAGATCTGTGCTGAATCCCCCAGTTATCGTCCCTGGAGGTCTGGGCAGTGCAGTCAGCGAGATCTAAAGAGATGGTCAGCTCTCCCTGAAGTAGAAACCTGAAGTAGTCTGCGGTTTAGTGACACAAAGCAATAACATAAGGCAGAAAATAGGCATAGGATACTGCATATGATTGGTACTGTAAAGGGAGAATAGGCAGCGCATTTTGTCTGCCTAATCTGAGCAGGATAATGGGCAGCATCCTCCTCATGGCCGCCTCTTTGGGATCGGTGCTTGCACCAGGCTGAGCTCCCTCCTGCCGTTGCCCCCAACCGTCAGGCTATGCGGGGCTGCTCAACTCTTAAGGACTCTGGGGGCGAGCACCCCGCTCCCGGCTATTGCTGTTTCCTGCTTTACGCTCCCTAAGGGCCTCTTCTGAGTAACTGGTGATCCCATACTGTATTCAAATGGTGGAAAAGAAATAATGGAAAGAAAATCCAGAGTGAAAGTCGCCTGAGTGGAGACCATGTGAAGTAGCTGTAAAGAAGGCTGTCCGCCCTGGCTGCCATCTCGCCTGAGGCCACCGACTTTCAGCTAAGTCAGGGTTGTACCCATGGCAAAGGACAGCTTTCTTTCTGCACTCCACAGTATAGTGCTGGCACTTATTTTTACTTCTGCCACACGTTCTGTTTTTCCCCAAAAGGGGAGAATTTGAAAAAAAAAAAAAAACTCTTGGCTGCAGAATTTAGCATCCCCACAACACAGCAGAAAATGGGAAGGAGCTACAAAAACCCCAACAGGATGACTACAAACCTAGGACCTTTGTCCTTTGATTAGGACCTATCAAATGTGTCTTTGGCTGGTCACAGCCAAACATGCTAGCATTCAGGACCTGCTTCTGGGTGACTTCCCCTTGCAGCTGAGAAGCCCTGGGATTTTGTGAAGACGTTGATACTAAAGCCTTGGCTGATGAAGAAGCTGTTTTGACTGAAAAGGGGCTGCGCCATTTCCCCTTGCTTAGAAGCTGGTGATCCTGACTGTCAGACCGTAAGGGGGTCCTCCCGCTTCCCACCAGACTTGAAGGGTTAGCAGCGCCAACCGCGTAGGCTGGGTTTGCTTTGTTCCTTTTTTTTGGTTGATTGACTAGCTGTACCACCTTTCGCTTGGCAACAGCGGAAGGTGAAGTATCCCTCTGTCACGTACAAATAGATTTGTACGCTGACATATGGCAAATCAATCAAGGAATTATACCTACCGCAGTCAGGGGCTCTTACGGCTGTACAGGAAATCGCAGGGGCTTGAAGAGTACTTATATCGCCATAGCAACTGTAACCCACAGATGGAGCTGAAAAATTAAATGGAGGTGTTTGAAAACATAAGATCTCAGAGCAATATCGTACAGCCTGCTGCAACTGAATAAAATTTAAGCACGAAGGTTGCATCCAGAGCAGTAAGACAAATAACCCTATGTTCACCGTGTTTATGTTATTGTCACTGCTCTCCATCAGGAGCATTATCAATGAGATCAGTGAGAAATTTGCCCTTTTCTCATCTAATAGGCTGAAGGGAATGAATCTAATGATGACTTGTACAGATGGAGATGGGCCCCGTTAGGCTGGTTTGGGGGAAGGGACCCACAGCCTCTGCATTTATTTCAGAGAACTCTTTCCACTGGATGCCCTTCGACATCTGGGCCCCCCACCGCAGATGATGGCTGATGGTACCAAGCAGCCCCGGCTGGGAACATCTCCTATGTCCCACCGTAACTCAGTGAGGAATTTATTCAAGTGAGTGTTTGCCTTGGCCTAGGCAAATTACATCGTTTGCTCAACAATTGAGGAATTAATAGACTCCATCAAACAGCCGATGACATTTGCGAGATGGTTTCTGAGTAGGCGGAGGGATCAAATAAGGTTAGCTGGGAAAATCAGGATGAGATATGCCTGTCACTCCAGCTTGGTGCCGGGCCCATACTGCACATTTGTTGGTTTGAAGGATGCAGGTGGGAGGCAAGCAACCTCCTGTGAAAACTGAGGACATTTAACCACGCATGGTTTTACAGTGCAGTGCAGAAAGGGGACCTCACCGCACTCCTCCTTCCCATGGTCCCTCTGTGAGTTCACTCAGGGGGATGGTTTTGGCATGAAACGCAACCCAGTCGAGGCCTCGGCTCACCGATAAGGGCAGTGAGGCTGAGCAGGAGTAGTGCATGGCCCATGGCGACTGTTTTCCTCAGGAGCCCCAGGAAACCTGAAAACACATCTGCTGGCAAAACATGAAGAAATCAGTGACACAATATGAAGAACCAGTGGAGAAAACATGAAGAAATCAGTGAGGTTTCCAACAGTACGGTAGCAACACTTGCATGCCAAAAAGAGCTTGTGCCCCAAGGCACCGGGCAGCAATGGCATTAGGCAAAGCCAGGACCCCCCCTTTGCCCCCCAACCCCCAGGGTCCCCAGCCCTGGGACGCGCTGCCCTGGGGTCTCCCAGCAGCAGATGGCTTCAAATAGTGGTGCTGGGAGGAGAAGCAAGCGAAGGGAGACTCATCTGCCTTTTTTTTTTGGGTGATGCCATCCCCTGCTGCAGCTGAACAGCTTCCCAGTCTTGCTTGCCCCTCCACCTCGGCATCGAGGGGGAAGTGCTGAGCCCACGGAGATCCCTGTCAGCAGCTGGGCGGGGAGGGATTTTTTAGCCCCTGCCACTTCATATCCCTCATCCACGCGACCCTTCTTGAACACCTTTTGCCTGTCTTTACAATGAGAAAGTGCAGTACAGCCCAGTGACATATTTAAATATGCAGGTGTTTGAAGTCTGATGTACTGCAGAGAGCAGAGATCCTTTGTTTTCTTGTTCAAAAGGCAATTTTTTTCCTTTGGTTTTGGAAAAGCACGCTTTCAAGAATCAAGTGATACTGCGCTTAATTCTTTGCTAAAAGCCTGCAAGGCAATTTCAAGTTTTTGCTGGTGAAATAATACTTCTGCATTAATTCCTGTGTTTGATAATGGCAGATAATCACTCTAGTAATACATGCATCAGTTATGCTTATTAATAAAATTCCAAAATATTATCAGATAATAGCTATCAGCTGGGAAAAAAAAAAAAACCCATCAATTGCACCTAAATTGCTTGTGAGTGCATTTGAACTGAGCATTTTTTTTTTTGGCTTAAAAATGTTTTTTCCTCAGTAGGTTTTCAAATACAGGACATGTCATGAGGCTTGAAAGCCATCATGCAATGTTGTTATCACTTGAAAATGTCTTATTGATTTTAATAATGCCTGACCTTTTCTCTAGTCTAAGAGGCATTTCCGCTGTAAATCAAGCTTCGGGGACACACAAACACGAGCAGTTCATTGATGTTATTTGTCCTCAGAGAGTTTATTCAGCCCAATAAACGCTCACTTCCTGAGGTGGGCTCACATAGCAGCTCAGTTTGAGCTCTAACACTAATAATGAGTGTCTGCAAGACTGGATCAATATGGCTTGACCCAATACCTATTAATTTAACGGCAAATCTATATGAGGCCCCACTGAAAGCTACAGTTTGTGGCTGTTTCCGCACACAGAAAATTGCCCTGTTATAAACTTCTAAGTTATCAACCTTTTTTTTCCTCCCATCATAAAAATCATCACAGGCTTTAGCCTTAAGTAAAAAGCAGCATGACAATCACAAAATTAACAAATGCTAAACCAAAGCAAAATTAAGGATTCTGCCTCTAAATGGATGTTCTACAAGGGAATTCAGACTCACCTGTCTTCAATCGGCCTTCATGTGAGACAGGGCACTTGATGAGTTTTATACATACGAAAGGGTACCCACCCTCTGGGCTTTGGAATGTTAATCCCCTCCTAGTGTGATGACACTTATATTAAAGCATAATAAATAATATATAATAAGACCTTGGAATTCTTATGGTTCCTTTCATCCAAAGATTTGAATAAGCAGTGTTTAGTACGACTCAGGACAGCTCTCTGAAAGGAAATAAATATTGTTTTTCCTCTACCAATGAGTAAACTGATGCACAATAAATAACTTGCAAAAATGCATTGCAATGAGTCAGTGACAGAGGCCAGGCAAAAATCAGATCCTTGTCTAGTGCTCTCCTTGCTTCACCTCTCAAATCAATCTGAGCTCACTTCTAAAAGAGTTTAAAAGAGTTTTTGTCTCCTTTCCTCAGTGATTTCAGACTGGCAAGCTTTTGAGTATCATGCTTTCATATGAATTGCAAAAACGAGAATTAAAGAAAAACATCTCTATATCATTGCTTACAGCTGGTTCAAGAGGGTGACAGGAATACTTCGAGAGCAGGGGCAGGGTTTGACTTTTGTATTTGGGAGGCTGGATGCTATGCTGAAATGAGGAGGAAGGGTACTGACATCTTAGCAGCCGAAGCCTGTGTGGGCACAGAGAGTATCTGTGAGATTTGTACCGTATGGCAGAGATACTTTTCACGCATGTAAGTCAGCAAAAACACTTGAGTCACTTGGAAGACCATCTGGGAGGCCAGTGACCTGTAAGCCTGTCCCTTTCCCCACATTTTTCTCTTCCCCAGACTCTGCCTTGCCTGTGCGGAAGCTGGGAAAGAAAGATTTTCTTTGAGTAGATTTCTCTTCATTATTTAATACATGACAAATCCATTTATTCCTTTTGCTCTCCCTGGGGAGACCTTGAGACCTACTGGGTGGGAAGCACTGTTTTGGCCAGGTACTGGATTAAAAAAACAGGTGATGGCTATTAGTCTTTAAAGTCCTGGAGATGATTAAGTAGGCCTTCTCACCTTCTCAATCAATAAATCCGTGAACACAAATATGGACTTGCATTGTAAAGTAGTACGAAGGAGGGAAGCGTCACTGGAATATCTAGCCTTGTTGTTTAATGCGGGTTAGGATAAGGGAAGACTTAAAGGTAAAAATCATTTATTGGGGTGAAACATGGAAAGCAATAGAAATCTTCCCACAGACTACAGTAAGGCAAAGCATTCATTCTTCATGCACAAATCTGGTATCTTATTGTGTATCTCAGATTAGACTATGACTTAATCTTAAATCTTTTACTAGGGTTTAGTTTGTTAAATAGTAAAAGGTAACATTTGACATACTATAAGGTAATTATCTATGTGGCACCTTAGGAGAAAACAAGTAGAAAATAAAGACATTACATGCACAGCTTAGCTTTAATCCTTCTAAAAGGAAGGAGCAACCCATAAAATGCTGGAGGAGAGAAAAGGGAAAAAGGACAGAAGTACAGCTTGAGGACAACAAACCAGTAGATGTATTAATTTGTCTTCTATAGAAGAAAATAATCTGTATTAGAAAGAGATGTTTTCTCTCAAATAGATGAAAATAATTTGGTATTAATAACATCCAGCTACCTCTTATAAAAACAGTATCATATTAGTGCTAATAAACCTACGTTCCTCTGTCGCTGAACCTGTGTTCGTGCTGGTGACTCGGACACACACACCTTCTCCGTGCTCTTCCACTGACATCGTTACTTATATGGAGCTGAAGTAAGTACTAAGTGATCATAAAATGCTACTCTACAGAAAGAAATAGCAGTTTACATCTGTTTACATGAGATAAATGATTATATAGGCTGGAAAGGAGTGCACCTGAGATCTAAAGCTTTACAAAGGTTACCACCAGTTCTTTCCTACTCATGGATTTTCTTTTTTTTTTTTTTTTTGTTTTCATATGCCAAGTGATCTACCAGGGTTTTTTCGTGTGTGCGATCAAAATGGAGCATTATTTTGAAATGCCCTATGTATTGCTCATGCTATTCTCCTCCAAGTTGAGATGTATCATCACATTTTATTGGGTGGTGAAAATGCTATCTAAAATTACCTGCAACTATACCCATAACTAATTACTGTCTCCTCTATGAGTTTCAACTCTGGTTTCATAACATCACCAAACAGATGCATTTCTCAGGTGGCTCCTTTTGTCTGGGATGTAATTACAGGTAGCACCAGGTATTCACAGATTTTATATAATAATTGCTTTACAGGGAAACTGCCCATACAGCTGACACATGCTGGATGCCTGTCACAAACTGGCCAGTTAAAGATGCATCTGTAGCTTCCCCTCATGGGTTTGTTTAGCCCCAAACCTTGTATCCCAAGCCCTCTAGATTTGTCTTTCTCAGCTTTTAAAGGGATATGGCCAGCTTAATAATTGTATTTATATAGATTTTCTTTTCTGCATCTAGTATACCTCTAAGTAACCATAGAAATGATGAAGTGGGGTGAGCTTCAAACTTGTGAGATGTAAGGCTCTCAGTTTTCTCTTTGTGTTCAGAGCTGAACAGGTGCTGAGAGCCCCAGCTCTCAGCCTTGTCTTGCCTTTCTGAAGGTGAGCAGGTAGGCATTAAAATGACACCCCCTTCTGCATAAAGAACCTCTCTGTAGCCATCATGTAAGATAAATAAGACTGAAAGTGTTTGGGAGGGGGGAAAAAAATAGCGTTTTTTTCTCTTTTGTTCTCCAAAGCAAGTCTTTGGATTTTATTACAGGTCTCTTGCAAGACCTCAGTTTAAACACAGAACCATCACGTAAAGCAAGGCATTTAGAATTCAATCTAGGAGAGTGTAAAGCAAGACCTAGGAGCTGTGCTGCCCCCAAGCCCTATTCCAAGTACTCAGCTGAGATGCACTTAGCTTTCTGTTCCCATGTGAGTCTAGAGTGACCCAGGCAGAGCAGCTTGGTCCACACCTCCCAAAATCTGGCATTCAGTGTCCCAGCGCCAAAATCTCCAGGCAAGTAGGAGTTTACAGAATACCCTCATGCCTACACTTACAAAAAGTGGCTGTGACGCCTGCTTTGTTTATAGCCATGGCAAAAAGCAAGATCCATCTTAGAGAATACCTTCTTGATGGCAGAAACCTATACTCCACTCCTTGTCTGATAAAGTCCTTACATCCCTCACCGAGATGGGGTGCATCTGTGTTCATTCTTCAGTGTGTTGTGGTTGTGTCAGTGTGCAGCAGAGAATGCTGGAGTCACAGAGGAAGAAGGGGCAAAGGCAAGAAAGGGTCCTGTGGCCCCGCAGTTGGGTCACTCACTGTCAAGGGGGCACAGCTGGATCAGGTCCAAGTTCCTGAGACTGCTCTGGTATTTATATTAACTCCGAGAATATTAATATAATATCCTATACAAAGCATGGGAAATACAAAGCCCTGGGAACAGGGACAAGAACCTCCCACTTCCATGAGCAACAGA